TAAACTTTCAATCATTTTCTACACATACACACTTTTTTCTTTTTTTCAAATAAGTGTGAACTAGGTCACTTTCAACATGCTGTGATTCTATGATTCATTCACTCCCACTGAATCATCCACTGATAAAGTAGTTTTTTTCAAGGAAGAATATTTCCAATAGCTAATAGTCAATGTCTGTGGAGTGCTTACACAGTGTCTGTATCTTCTGACTACGTTATATATACTTTTTACAACATACCTATGGACTAGGTACAATTATAACCCCCTTATGACAGATAAATACAGAGGCGAAGTAACTTGCCCAAGACACTGGAACAAATAAAAATCCATGCCTCTATAATCATTTTGCTTTATTGCCTCCCTCAGGGAGACTTGATGATTATGTAACTAAAACTTAAATACCATGTTACATTTTCATATTTCTTACACAAGCATAGAGTTGTGATATGGGGTACCTAAACAGAATACTTTTAAAAACCCTTATGCACCTGAAATGAAAGTAAGCCAGGGACTGCAAGCTGTAGACTCAAGATTTCCTACCAGCTTCTAAAAATAGCTTCTTGAATTCAGTTTATGTAATGTCAAGTCTAAGATGTAGTCCAAATAGTAACAGAAAAATGGAAATGTGTAGAAAAGTGGTTAAAGTTGACAGTATTAATAATACAGTAGTATTATGGCGGCCAAGGTAAAGGCCCACAGCAAAACTCACTGTTTCTGTCCCAAAGGGCAGAGCTCCACGTTGTAACTCCCTGGTGCTAGTGAGCTAGTCTACTCACTGCTTAGCATAGCAGCATCTTCAGTTTGATAGGTTCATAAGAATGCCATATACTTGGTTAGCAGTTCTACAGTCATTTTTAAAATTTGTTTATTTCAATTGGATAATTACTTTACAACATTGTGAGAGCGGTTCTACATTTTTGATGCAATAATATTTTCAGGGTGTGGGAGGATATCAAGCTATGAAAAATAGCCTTAGAGAGGTCTGCTTATTAGCTTTGCTTTTTCCATCTCCACAATACTTTTCCTTCACTTTTTAGTATCACGTTGTTTTCCCTTTGTCTAACAAACTTTCAAATACTTTTTGATGAGCTATCGAGTTTGGGAAAAAAATAAACTCTTTAAAATAAAGAAGATAGTGACAGTCATAAGTAGAAAAACTCTAAAATTGAGATATACTTCATCATAGCCAGTGAATTGGAATGCAAAGTTTGTGTTTATTGTTTAGGATGTCTAATTAAATCCAAGGATGCTCTGAGGCATCTCTCATATCTTTATAAGCCTCCATCATTACTGATGAGTAGGGTTCACAGATAAAATATATGCTGTTTAGTTAAATATGAATGTCAGGAAAACAATGAGTACATTTTTAAGGTAAGTTCCCTGGTGGCTCAGTGGTAAAGAAAAATGCAGGGGATGCAGGTTTGATCCCTGGGTTGGGAAGATCCCCTGGGGGAAGTAGCGTGGCAATACTCTCCAGCATTCTTGCCTGGGAAATGCCATGGACAGAGGAGGCTGGCAGGCTATAGTCCATGGGGTCTCAAAAAGTCAGACACCAGTATTCTTGCCTGGAAAAGTCCATGGACAGAGGAACCTGGTGGGCTGCAGTCCATGGGGTTACATGACTGAGCATACTCATGCTCCACGAGAGTGGAGTGAGATGGGTTGGTAGCAATAAACTGGTAGAACTTAAAAAAAAAAAGTCAGACACAACTCAGTGACTAAACAACAACAACATGCCCCAAATAATACATAGGATGTACTTATACTAAAAATAATGATTTATTTTTTCTGAAGTTCAAATTTAACTGAGTGTCCTATGTTTTTATTTACTAAACCTGACAGTCCTCTGATGATCCACAGTGGAGGGAGTTCAGAGATGGTACCTACCGGCTCTCAGACAGTCACAGATTGCTTCAGGAGACCCAGGTACAGTACAAAATTTATTTTGGATGTAGCTAAGAAGTCATGAATAGCCCTTGACTGCAAGTACGTCCTTGGGTTTCCTTGAGGTGGGATGAACCTTTCTCTTCAGTTCAGTTCAGTTGCTCAGTCGTGTCCGACTCTTTGCAACCCCATGAATCTCAGCACACCAGGCCTCCCTGTCCATCATCAACTCCTGGAGTCCAACCAAACCCATGTCCATTGAGTCGGTGATGCCATCCAGCCATCTCATCCTCTGTCATCCCCTTTTGCTCCTGCCCCCAGTCTCTCCCAGCATCAGGGTCTTTTCCAGTGAGTCAACTCTTCACATGAGGTGGTCAAAGTATTGGAGTTTCAGCTTCAGCATCAGTCTTCCAATGAACACCAGGACTGATCTCCTTCAGGATGGACTGGGTGGATCTCCTTGCAGTCCAAGGGACTCTCAAGAGTCTTCTCCAACACCACAGTTCAAAAGCATCAATTTTTCGGCGCTCAGCTTTCTTCACAGTCTAACTCTCACATCCATACATGACCACTGGAAAAACCATAGCCTTGACTAGATGGACCTTTGTTGGCAAAGTAATGTCTCTGCTTTTTAATATGCTGTCTACGTTGGTCATCACTTTCCTTCCAAGGAGTAAGCGTCTTTTATTTTCATGGCTGCAGTCACCATCTGCAGTGATTTTGGAGCCCCCCAAAAATAAAGTCTGACACTGTTTCCAATGTTTCCCCATCTATTTCCCATGAAGTGATGGGACCAGATGCCATGATCTTAGTTTTCTGAATGTTGAGCTTTAAGCCAACTTTTTCACTCTCCTCTTTCACTTTCATCAAGAGGCTTTTTAGTTCCTCTTCACTTTCTGCCATAAGGGTGGTATCATCTGCATATTTAGTAAGTCTGGAAGACCCTATCCAAAGGGAGCCGCCAAAGTCAGTTTCATCCTTACAACCATGTTTCCAGTTCCTGGAATTAGCTCCATGTGACTCACAAAAGATGAAGTTTGTGAAAATCAGGAGTTACATATCTTTGACCCTTTGTGGGTGAAGTTTTGCCATCCTGGGAGATTTAATAGGAGAAATGTGAAAGAGTCCAGGTACCCGTATGGACAGAAATAATTGTGTTATACTTCTGTATATGTGACAAGTCTCTAATAGTTCACAAAGATCTGGTCTTAGAAAGACTGATCCAAGCTTGGATGTTTCTGATGACAAGGCAAGAACCTGAGTTTCAAGTTCATCTTTTATGGTTGTGGAGACAACAAGGAACTTCACATAGTTACCCGAAGGGAAATCATGGGGGAGACCTTGGCTTCATCCATTGTGCAGACTTTTATATTTGGTTCTATCTAGATTGTGTTTCAAAGGTGGAGCTTGTTTACAACTATGGAGGCTCAGAACATTCTCTGATGTGCTTTTGGGGCCTTCACTCCTAGAGGGAGAGCAGTGCTGAGGCTATAGGAATGCCATGAATATTCAGGCTGTCAATGGCTTTCCCAGGTGCCATTTCCTTGGTTCTGCTCTCTGAAGTATGCAAAGGGATTGTCGTCTGTTTTGTGGCCTGGTGGCCTGTCTTAGTGTTGTGAAAAGAAGCTGCTACACCTGGCTCAGAGGAATTCAGATGTAGCAGGAGAAGATTGGTCAAATTTAAGTAACACTAGTTTTACTAGCGGAGAAGGCAATGGCACCCCACTCCAGTGCTCATGCCTGGAAAATCCCATGGACGGAGGAGCCTGGTAGGCTACAATCCATGGGGTCGCTAAGAGTCGGACATGACTGAGTGACTTCACTTTTCACTTTCATGCACTGGAGAAGGCAATGGCAACCCACTCCAGTGTTCTTGCCTGGAGAATCCCAGGGATGGGAGAGCCTGGTGGGCTGCCGTCTATGGGGTCGCACAGAGTTGGACATGACTGACGCAAGTTAGCAGCAGCACCAGCAGCAGTTTTACTAGAGCAAGGGAGAATAAATGATTGGAAGTGGAGGTGTCTGGGATGGGAAGGACGTTGCTGTAATTTTAAAAATGCTCTAGGACCAGGAAGGACAACCAAAAGTACTGGGCTTTGATTTGGGTCGCAGATAAGAGAGGGAGGGATGAAATAGGGATGGACCTTATATAGATGGCCAGCATGTTGTTCATTTGCTCATTCACCCAAAACCCAAAAGGTGAGTTGCTGAGGTACAATCGTGTGTCAGGTACTCTGTTAGATTTTGGGATACAATAGTGAGGAAAATGAATTCTCAGTCTTTAAGGAGTGTATAGTCCAGTCAGAGAGACTGATAAATAGGCAATTACAACACAGGAAGTAAGGCACTTAACAGAGGAAGTGGATCTTTGTGGGTGTAAGCAGGAGGGCCGATTTACCTAAGCCCAGTGGTAGGGATATGGAATGGAAAACCCAGAGGGACTTCTTTTTTTTCATATAGTAATGTAGTACTTATTTTAAAAACAGGCATGTAAGAGGACCCCTGCAGTTCAAACCTGCCATTGTTCAAGGGTCATTATAGACAGTATGCAAGAGTATCAGTTTTATTTTGGACCAAGAATGTTGCTATAATTTGGAGAAATTTTGTAGTAGAATTTAAGATTAGAGCCAAACTATATGAACAGAATTTAAGATTAGAGCCAGACAGAAATGTAGGGTTTAACCCAAAAGGATAGTTCAAGTCATGACAGAAGACAAGATGTCCCCAAAATAAGAGAAAGAGTAGAACACCTTTATCATTAAGAGAAGAAAAAGGACCCCAGAGGAAGAGAAGTTTCACAAGGCGTGAATTAACAGTGGTAAATGCTACTGAAATGGAAAGATGAGGACTGAGAAAACAGCATTTATAATAAGAGTAAGAGGTACCTTAAGTAGTGGAGGGAAAAGCCAAATTCAAAAGGGTTAAGCAGTAAGTGATGGTAAGAAACTGAAATAAATTCAAATCTGTCCATACCCCTCCTATCTTTTCTCATCCCAGAAACACTGGTTAGGTTAGTAGTCACAGGCCTCTTTCAATTTTTCGGTGTTCTGTGGCCCTCCAGATAGTGATTTGAGTATTTAAGTTCTTCTTAAATAAGTGGCCTTAGCAGTCTTAGGTTAAAATCTGTTTGCTGGTTTTTTCTGTGCTGTTCGTCCCTGCTCCCCGCCTCCCCTTGGCCTGGATGTGGGAGGCGAAGGCAGCGAGCCTTTCCCGGGCGGGGTGGGCGCTGAGGAGCGCGCTGTCCTCACGTCTACAATCACTGAGCAGTTGAGGTTCGTGCAGCGAACTTTCTCGCTGCTCACCACCTGGTGGAAGGTCCTCGTCGATTCCATGTTCTTCTCAAAGGAACAGAACTGAACCCGAACCTGCTTGACTGAGCGGAGTCTGAGCCCAGTCAAGGCCGCCGCCATGGTGACACCCACCCCGGCCCAGAGAGACTTCTGGAAGGAATTGATATTGGAGATCTGCAGGGTGAGTAGAAATTTTCCAGGACCTTTACAGGCAAAGATGGGAGGAAGAAAGACAGTTTCAGGCAGAGGGACAACTCGACACAGAATCTGTAAGGAGAATATTGTGTGTTCAAAAGTATGGCTGGGGCATGAAAGCTGAGGTGGAGGGTGATAGGAGATGTGGCTAGAAGGAGAGGCAGGTTCTGTCATTTAGATTTCGTTCTGCAGGCAATGGGGCTTCGCTGAAGTTTGTGAAGGCAGAGGAGTGGCACTGTCAGATTGTGCTTTAGTAGAGTCACTTAGGTGATTGTGTATAGTGGGTTTTGACAGTAAGCCCAAATTCTTCTGTGTGGGGCCAGGTCATACATGAGACCATGTAGTCACTGGATTCAACTGGGACTGTGAGTATTTTTGATTTTTGTTTCTCTTTTGTGTGTGTGTGTGTGAAGTTAGGCAGACGATGTCATGCCTTTTTTCCATTAACAGCAACATGAAATCAATTAAATATGTGTGTGCATGTGTGTCCTCAGTTGTGTTCGACTCTTTGGAACCCAATGGAATATAGCCCGCCAGGCTTCTCTCTCTCCATGGGATTGTCCAGGCAAGAATACTGGAGTGGGTTGCCATTTCCTTCTCCAGGGGATCTTCCTGACCCAGGGATCAAACCCTTGTCTTCTGCATTTCCTGCATCTCAGGTGGATTCTTTACCACTGAGGCACTGGGGAAACCAGATCTTTCCTTGTGTTATTTTAAATTAACTCAAGACCTGTAAGGGCCATTGCTGTAGAAAGGGGTCTGGCACATGTAACATCTGGGTGGAAACAGAAGCTGATGGAAAAAGTGGGAATTCGAGGGATTCTGGAGCAGGTTGTGGGAAGTAAATAACAGTGAAAGCCCTTTCTAACTCACAGCTTTATAACTGCTGGTCCTCCTTACCCTCTCCTCTTCCTGACCCCTAACCTCATGAGGGTGAAAATGTATCCCAGAGGCCTCTGATTAGATTCTGCCCATAATACTCTTGTTTGAAAGTCACAAAGTTCTCTGAGAAGTGATAAGCTGCTTATCTTCCTTCCTTATTAGTCATTTAGTACCATTTCTAGTTTCCAAACACCTACTGTTTGTAGAGCCCTCTTGCTTTCCCCTTCTGAGTGTTTTTTTAGCACTGTCCCTTTTGATCTCAGAGATGTAATCTTTAACAAACTACCAATTAACTATGAAATGTCACTACAACAAAACACATCAGTATTCTCTGTGGGTTTATTGTGCTTGAATTTGACCTTCATTGCTAATTCTTGGACTGTCTTCCTGGTTTGTGGCTTATCTGAACTCACATTTCTTCTTTCTGTTGACCATTTCAAAGCTTTTGTCTAGAAATTAAGCTGGTAAAATAGCATAGAAGCCTTTTCCCCTGTGATAATCCCTTCCTTTTGATACCAGTAATTAAAAATGGGCTGTGATAACATGAGAAGACGTAAAGTTTGAAGGTTTTAAGAATGACTTGGAGACTCAGAAGTAAAAAGGGACCAACACAAGTGAGTATAAACTATTATTTTACTCAAAATACTATTTAAAATAGAAGTTTAGGTTTATTGAAGAAAATGGTTATACTTGAGCTATTTGAAGTTCTAGCAGTCAGATATTCTTTGAAAATTTGTTTTAAAGTTCTGACTGGTGGTCTTAGAATTAAACTGCTACTTGGTGAAACACGGAATATGGAGAGGTGAAAGAAAAGTCAGACTGCAATGATGCTACAAAAGAGAAACTACCCCATCCATGAGCATCTAGAGTGAATGGGAATCAGACAGGAAAGGAAACAGAAGCAGAGCTGGTTTTGTAAGTCATGGTGCCTGCAGCTCTTTGAAAGTGATAACCACCAAGGGCCAGGTGCAGAGAACTAAATGAAGAGCTACTTGTCAAAGTCCACGTGGCGGGAGTGGCAGGGCCACCAGACAGGAAGTCTCTCCATTTCTGGTACACAGGCTGGTATTTCAAAGATATGAGGACACAGGTCTTTCTCTGAAAAGGATGGACTATGATGTTTTTGAGAGAGAATTTCCAGAGCTAATGACATACTCAGGCTAAAGAAAATATATCTGTCCATCTAGGGACCTTTGAAAAGAGTGTGAGGCTGAAAGAGCAAATATTTTGGCAACTGAAAGACCTGGGTTGGTATCTATTACTTCAGTAAATTACTTAATCCCTCTCAGTCAACTTCCTCATCTCTAAACTGGTGATGATGACGATAAGATTGTTGAGGGCATTAAATGAGGTCATGGCAGGTCGACTGTTGGTGCAGTAACTGGCACATAAGAACTGTTTAATGAATGACAACCAGTGGTCATTAGCGAGATGATGCAGAATAGTGCATCTCAGACTCTTGTTGAGAGAGGTTTCTTATTATCTGTTCTCATTACTAAGATTACTTGTGAACCCGTCTGAATTTGCTCTTGCTGCTTGTCTGGTATTGGCAATTTGTTCAATATACCTCCTGTGTTTCTTAGATCCTACCATTTTATGCACTTGGTAGACTTTCAACTGCCACTATTTGGCATTTTCTTCCCAGGAGTTTCTTCTGAAGCTGTTGAAGTCTGCTCTGCCTGTGCAGATGGCCAGAAGGAAGAGAGGGAAATTTGTAACTTTCCTCAGCAGTCTTCTGCTGGGAGTCAGTACATGAATGACCCATGTTCCTTGCCCTTGAAGATGGATGCTTGAGTTTTCCACAGTTTCTCTGTAGATTAGCTCCACTCTCCTGCATTATTGCCTGACTAATAATGCAATCTGTAATGCCTGCCTTCTCACTTTATTTTTGGGATTTCTTCCATTTCTCATATTAACTATATGAACTTGAGTGTTTATTATTGAGTTTGATTCTGGGAGAACCCATATAATGTCTTTTTTTTTTTTTTTTGGCCTCATGCATGTCTTGTGGGATCTTAGTTCCCCAACCAGGGAACTTGGGCTCTTGGCAGTAAGAGCCTGCAGTCCTAACCCCTGTATAGCAGGGCATTCCCCGAAGTCATTTTCTTGAGGAGAAACAAGTTGTCAACTTGCCTTCTATGGAAAGGTATTAAATAATAGAAAAACCAAAGTTTTCTTTATGATTAACTCACATTTCCCTATGCACATTATTTGGCTACAGTATTATTTAAATATATAATATAGAAGTGATACAAAAAGCAAAAAGGCACTGCTGATTTTAGAATGTATGTATTCATATTAAGCATCTAAGAGATACTAGTTATAAAACAGTTAATGATTTAAGAATAATTACAATGTCATTTGCAATAATCGAGTCCTGCTGAATCCAGTCATCTGCACACAATAGTGATTGGTGTCATAGGATTACTAGATTAAGTTGATAACTATTGATCAGTCTTAAATAGATATGGGATGGGAGTGGGTCATCCATACTCTTTACTTCCTAGTTACAAAAAATGCATAATAAAGAGTACTATTCTCTGTTCTTTTCACACTGTTCTCTTACTTGAGGAATAAAAGGAGAAAACATAGTATAAGAAAACAAGTATAACAAGAGAAAACAAGTATAAGCTCTTTCTTAATGAAATGTACATTATTTATCTTCTTAAAGACAATTTTAATTAGGAAATCATAATTGCCTAGCTTATAGAAGTAGCTTAATTTTGAACTTGGAACTCACTTCTGGGAGGTAAATGAATAGAGGCAAAAAGGAGGGATTAAGTAAGACTGGAAGGCTGAGAGTATAGCTGGAACCCATGTATAATATTCACAGTTCAATATTTAATAACTGCTTTAATTATTACCTTATCATAAATGTAAAAGTCAGGCCAGAGCCATCTAATATAATAGATGTTGATGACATGATGGTATCCTCATGAGACCTGTGTTCATTCTTTCTCATGTAGATGAAACTCAAATTTCATGTCTTCCCCAGTGTTACAAATTTTGACCATTCTGATAAGTGTGTAGTGGTATCTAACTATTGTTTTAATTTGCAGTTTCCTAACGGGCTTCTCCAGTGGCTTAGTGGTTAAGAATCCGCCTGCAGGAGATGCGTGTTCGACTCCTGGGTCAGGAAGATCCCCTGGAGAAGAAAATGGCAACCCACTCCAGTATTCTTGCCTGGAAATTCCCATGGACAGAGGAGCCTGGCGTGCTACAGTCCATGGGGTCGCAAAGAGTTGGATACGACTTAGCAACCGAACAACAACTACATGAAACTTACTTTTTCTAGTCATGTATTGACCATGTACTTGATTTTGGAGAGCTGTTCCATCTTTGTCTTTGGTTGGGACAAGGTAAGCAGTCTCCCTGTCTTAACTTATGATGCCTACTCATAGCTTGGACAAAATACAGTGTGGACTGCACATTGAATGTTTGGCTCTACTTATCAGGATGGCTTGCAAATAATGCCAGTCATTGTATCTTCAAAATAGCAGTTGCCAAACATTTTCCCCCCAGTAACTGATTCCTTTTACAAGTATAATTTTCTGTAGAATTCCAAAATATAAACTACATTATGAAAATACTGATTCTATAGGCAGGTAGTTGATAATGGTAACAGACTGCTGTCTTCTCTCAGGACACTCTGCAATTTATTTATCCAGAAACCCAAAGGAGCTATAGTAGGATATTCCTCTTCAAAAATTGCATCACCAATAATAACTATTGCCTGTATTTCATATCATTAGCATCAAAGTCAGAGAAGCACAAAAAATTTCTAATAAGTACTGAAAGATTTACAATTTAATAATAATAAGACATTATCTTTGGAAATTAGTTACTGAATAGTCAACTATGATGTGATAAGACTATCTTCCAGGTAGATGAGTCTGAGTTTTACATGATATATAAATGGGAGGGGCATATTACTGTAGAACTGGTTATGGATATAGGAAAGCTGAGTTCTCTTATATAAATCTTAAAGACAGAACAGTTTACTATGATAAGTGTAAAGGATGTGTACTTGGCAAATTGTACCA